CATGATGTCAGACAGAGGCTGTATGCATTCCTGGAGCAGGAGTCTCCTGGTGAACTATGGGAAATTGAAGTCTACTGTCAGGATGATGATGGCTTCCAAGGGTTATTAACTACCTTCTGAAGGCACCTGTTTGTGGAGGACATTGTAGCATTTCCCGGTTGGAACCAAAAGCCTCACTGATGTATTGGAATCCCCTAAGCACTGAAAATCTCAACATATATTACACAGAAATCCAGAAAAAAATAGCGGGGGAAAAAAAGCCCCAAAACTGAACCAGGACCAGCCCCTACCTCTAGGCACATTCACTGTTAGCTAAGCTATTCCTGATGTATAAGGAAGGAGAGGCACAAAGCAGGAACAGTTGTGGTTTTGAAGAGAATGAGCTGTCACATATGCTTGCCATATTTTCTCTTTGGCTTTGGTTTGCCAAATATGCCTTTGATGATGAAGGGGAATCTTGGGGCTCTTGTTTTCACTTCAAAATGTCTTGCTACGTACTGAAAAATGGGGACTACAAAACATTAGAGAGCACTTAGTATTTCACCCTAAGTGTGCATGAGGCATGATCAGTAGAGCTGCTGTATGTAGTAGCCTGTGGCAAACACGTGGCTGTTTATTACACGTGGCTATGTCTTGACAAGCGATGTTACTGTGTTCTCTGAGAAAACTCATGCTCTAAACCCATATCCCTCTGCCGTCAGGGAAAAGTATATATGTCCAGTGTGAGGTATTATAGTATATATGTCCAGTGTGAGGGTTATAGGACCCAGGACAGGTTTCTGCAGGGCCCCTATTTCTATCACAAAGAAACAATCTGTGCCCCAGAATCAGCAAGATGCAGGAAACCAGAATGGACAAAGGACAATTCAGCTACTACATGGCAGTGATAGGGTGGTGTGAGGAGAGTTCACTTCAGTGAGTGGACTCTGGCTGAGACAGAGATGGGCTTATCTGAGGACCTTCAGCAAAGTACTTACCCATGCAATCCTGCATCTCTGAAAGCTTACAAGAAAACGTTTCTCAATCTACGGCACAGGGAAAATCTTCCAGCAGGAAACCTTTCTTTTGGGGAACTCATTAATTTCATTAATAATCTCACAGTTTTTCTGTGCTGCAGTCAGAAATCAGAGTAATACCTGGCTATGAAGCTCCAGTGCAACCCCTCTTGCAGTGAAAAGGAGGGTCCTCAATGTGCAGGGAGAGGAGGAATTCGTTGCAGAAACAGATGAAACTTGAGATGAGTCCTATCCCAAAAGCTGAAGCACATTCACAGAGTAAAGATCAGACAACTTCCAGCATGGCAACATGCTCTGCCTGTGGTTTCTTAAGGAATGGAAGGATAGGGGGAAAGAGTATTTTTTCAGTTCCTGGCTTAGGTTGCTGAAGCCAATAAAATTCTCATTGCTGAATTCCATACAGCCAAATAGGGTACTTTGGCATATGCGAACACGTACATACCACTCCTGAGACTGTAAAGTATATTTGATGAAAGATTCTATATCAGCACTAGAAGCTATTTATAGATAAGTCCATAACCAAAGACCTGGATCTGCACATTCCCAGTCTCTGGGGAAGTTCGGGTCAAACCTGAATTTTGTTGTCTCAGACATGCATAAACCTAACCAGCCCCAGCTGCAGCCAGTGTTGGGTTTTTGTTAATGCAGAATAAAAATGCCCAGGGCCTTGGCTCCAGGACTGCTTTTGTTTATCTGATCTCTTCCAAGAGCCTGAGCCTGCTTTTTTAGTAAGAAGCAGAGGGAAGAACAAAAAAGAGCAAAGGCCACAAAACCATACTGGATGACTATTGTCTTGCCAGCGTGAGGAGCACAGTGAGAGCAAGCTGGGCTTTTGTCAGAGCCCCTGACTTCATGAGGGAGTAGCACAGCTCCAGGCTGAGGATTCTGGTTCCCATTAACAGCACAGCCAGTTGGAGCTGCCAAGATGGAAGGGGATGCTTGGCTCAGCCACCACGCAGGTCCCACCTGCTTTGCCACGATAAGTTCGTGTGGCTACCAGACCCCCAAAAATCTGTGTTCACTGCTTTGTGCAGATGAAGCTCACGTGTGCTCAGGGAACTGTGTACATCCAAGGACAAGTTTCCTTTCCCCTTCCACACAGGGCTGTGGTTGGCATGCTTGGCAGATTGAGTGCATAGCACAGCTCAGCAGCTTTGCAGCAACCTTGATTACCCATAATTGCAGCCTGCTGGGGTTGGAGATTTTTGTGGCCTACCCTTCTTGCCTGTCTTATGTTTCCATCAGTGCCCCCTCCCCATCCTCCATGGGGCTTGAACAGATACAGAGGAAGGATTAGAAGCAGGGAGAGAAGAAAAAAAAAGTCAAAGACAATGAGGGAGAAGGAGTCTTATGATCCAGTCCTGTGTCCTTTAGAGAGGACTCCTGAAAACCAATAGTTTGATCCGAAGCCCGGTGCCCTGAGTGTTTCCAGAAGTGTAGGTTTTGCCATGGAATTTCTCTTTGTTAAAGTCTTGAGCTCTAGCATTTTATCTTGCATGGCTTTTACTTTGTTTCTATGTGTTGGGTGACCTCAAGATATCAGCAATAAGTTCAGACCCTGCCCCATGTCTAAATGAATGTTGAACCCTGACTCCAGCCCAATTTACTCAGCATTTCTACCGTTTCAAAAAACAACAGCTTACCTTTGAGTTAGGCAAATATTGTAATTCTCAGGCTAGAAACATGAAACTGAGGCTCAGAACATACCCTTGTCTCTAGTTAAATAATGAATCAGTAACAAGTTGGGGATGGGAATTCTGACTGCCCAACTCCATGTTCTTCTCCCGACCGATGGCTGAACTGATTAGGAAGTACAGACAAGCTTATCACCTCTTAAAATGACTCTGCAATGAAATTCTCTGTAGTGTTTAACCAGTAAGCACTTTTATTGTTGATTTTGAATCCATTAAGACTACGTTATGTTGGATTATAAGACTTTGGCTACATCTCCCACATTTTCATGCAGGCAATACATTTGCAAGGTTTTCTCAGAAAAATGGAGCACACGCCTAAAATGCATAAAGGTTATATGATTATAACATGGAAGCAGCATGTCCGTTACAGAGATCTGTAGCACGTGTACCAGTAACAAACCCACACCCCCATGTAAAGCTTCTTTGTCCCTCAAAAATCCAACTGCTTCCTCTGTCCCTCATCTCCATGCCCCAGCTGTGTATCAGCCACATCCCCACTGTTTTGAAAACGTACATCTTTCTAAACAAAAACAAAACAAAGAAACAAATTGAGCATAGTACATTTTCCCCCTTAAAAATTAAAACATTTCTCCTTCACTACTCCTCTTTTTTCCTCCTAAATGAAAAATCTATCATAAGCTACACTGGTATATGTTAGGAATCTCTAGTGCATTATTCAAAAGTATATCAGTAACAAACTTCTAAACAAACTAGGATGACCCAAAAATTCCCCTTACCCCAAAACTACAGAGAACTGAAAATGCTATACTGCATTATCACACTTGCATGCGTGTATCCTGAGCCACCTCTATTTATTCACCTTGAGCCCCTTTTAATAAATAACTGTCCAGCAGTAACATCCAGAAGTGTGCTGTCTCCTCCAAATTAAACTCTATATTTACAGAAGTAGGGCTGTTTTCTCAGTGAAATACTTCTTTAAAAAAACTAATAACAACACAATGAACCAAAGTAATAACAATAAAAACAGCATACAATTAAAGAGAGAAAGCATATTACTGATCATGTTGTCTAAAGACCAACAAGAGTGAAAAGCATTAGGAGCACCAGGTGCACATGCATTTGAACTGGTACAGTCCATGAAATAATGTCGTCCATTGTTATCCTCGCTCTTTCAGATGAGGAGCTGATTCTTTTCCTTTCTTTCTTTTTTTTTCCCTTTTTTTACATTTAGGACCGTCTGCTCTGCAGGCTACTCTCACAGATGGCAACACATGCACTGAGGTTGAAAGATGGCCATAAATATGCTTTGATCAGTGTGGTTCTGTATCAGCTCTAAACACACAGGGTTTCCCTCCCTGCTGCTTTGCACCTTGTGTCATTTCACATCTGTGCTAAGTGTGAGCCAAAGATGCCCTGAATCCACATTTTTCTCTTGGATTTTGGGGAAGCATTAGATATTCACTTTTTGCAAGTGTCAAATGGTGGATTTCCAAACTACTGGAAAATACAGGGGTATCATCCACCATGAGGACATTTCTTAGCAATGTAACTACTGTTATCACAACTGACATACAATAATACTGATACAAACATTGAAACATCAAGCCAGTTAGAGGGATTTTGTCCCTTAATTTATTTTCAGGCAGTTCTCAGCTGATATTCAGTATTCTCAGCAGAATTCCTGCCTTGATTTCAGTTGGCCTATTTTGATTTATACCAGGTAAAGTTCAACAGACAGTAAAATAGCAACCAGTTTCTCCTACTTCATCGTTACAGTGCCCGAGATCACTGCAAACAGCTACATTTCTACACAACCAAAAGGCTTTTCTTTAGCCAGTGCAGCACATTCATTGCCCCCACCTTTACAAAGGCAATTCAGTTTGTGTTCACTTTCTCTTCTTCCTGCTTTATCAGCAAACTAAACCTGCAGGGCTCTGGTCACAGAAGCTGCAGCCAAATCTTGAGTTACACACCAAATGCTTAATTTTCTACATATTCATGCAGGGAACTCCATTTATGTGAATCTAATTTTCAAATCCATAGTGCTTCCTGCTTTAGCATATCTGATCACCTAGAAGCCCAAGCTGTTCCTATTCTTGCTGCACTTGCAAGTTATGCAAAAATTGTTAGTATCTGTTATCTCTGCAAGACTGTGATCCCAGCAAAACAAAGAAGAATATTCCTGTCAACTGCAAACAACAGGCATGTTGGATGTGTGACTGGGAGGGAGAAACCCTCCCTTAGCCAACACCTCCACTGTCACTGGTAGTGAGTTAAATTCTACCAACATTAACACCAATGCAACTCTGCAACAACTCTACAATGCACAGCAATGCAAAGTCCAGCTCACAGGCTTTTTCATTAGCTAAACTATTGACCCATCAGTTCACTGATTCAATCTCATGGCTGCCTGCTGATAAAGAAACTTGGTGTCTACAGAACAGTGGTTTTCCCCCATCCCACAAGCAGCTAGAGCTCTAAAGCCATGTTTTGTCCTGGCACAGGAATCAGTTTTATTGTCCTCTGCTATTTCAATTCCTGATTAAATTCGTTGGGCAATTTTTCTTACACAACCACTATGAGAAGCTGCTAGGTTCAACTGTACATACACGTTATTACAAATAGTCTTAGACTCAGCAAGGTTATTTCACACAGGCTTCCATATAACCAACATAATGCCAGTCAGTGATGTCTGCTTGTAAAGCACCTTCCCCCACATCCAGGTTCCTACCCTCTCCCTGCAGTCATCCAGTTCCTTTCACTGGTGTCAAAAGCAGAGCTTCACCAGAACTGCAGTGGAAAATTGGACTTGTTTTAGTTTCACCTTTCAACTGAAAGAAACAGAGATAAGTGATGACTTTGTATCACACTGGCTGCAAAAGGCCTTTATATTCATAGCAGTGCCACTCTTGAGCAATTTTTTGTGAAGGAAGAGAAACCCAACAAAAACCTACACAGTTCCCACACACAAACACAGACACACACACACACATACACACACTCTTTTTTCTCTTACAAACAGAAATCCATTCTTATGAACCAAATTATGCAAACCTATTCAAGTGTCTAAAAAGAATGAGGATAGGGTTGAGTGCATCCCAATTCTCCCTTCTGATCACAATGAAGTCACAGGTCAGCAAAGCACTTGAGCATAAGGAAGTTTCTCTTGACCTGCAGGACATTTTAAAACATGCAGAAGTGCTTTGCTGGCTCAGGCCTAAATTAGGAACAGCTCCAGGGGCAGCTCGCACCCACGACTGTGATTCCACTACCTGCACCAATATACATGAGGTAAGAGCGTAACTCAAGAGAGCAGAGCAGTGCAAGAGGAGAAAGAGGCTCTGTGGTTCTTCTGAGTTTACATCTGACAGCCTCAGCTGCATACACACGGCATGTCACAGTGATCAGCATAGACTGATAAGAGCTTGGTGTGATGTTCTGCAAGTGGGACTTCCACTGGAAAGAGTAAGCCTGATTTCTGTTTGTACCAGTACAACTTTATATGCCTATAGCACCTGCATGAAAAGGTCATAAATCTGGACCAATTGCATGATACATTTAGTGTTTTATCTTGGACTTATGTGCCAATAACTACTGTGATGTGCTACACACCCACACACAGATGGAGAAATAGGTATATGCTGTGTCATAATGCAACATATCATTAATTCTACAACTATCCTAATAACGCAGCCAATACCAAAGCAAACCAGCACAGGGATTTGCAGTTACCCTCTCCAATATGATAAGTAGTAGTGGAGAAAAAGCAAGCTCAGGTGTTATTTTTAATTCACTAGGGAATGCTCTGGGCACAACCCACTCAGGTATCGCTTAGAGAACACTAATCATGGGCTGACCCACCAGTCCCGCGTCATAAATTCCCACCTCTGTGTGGGTGCTCACATCGCTTTCTGATGACACCCAGAATTGAGGTCATGGGTGAACAGCACAATGTTTGGGAAATCCTCTAGCCAAACATATAAAAGAAGCATAAAAGAACAACTCACACTTGACATCATGCCTCTCAACCACAGGTAGACTGCAAGGTTACATATTATTGGGATCTGGGCTGTCTAAAAAAAGAGCTGTTTACAGAGGAATTTATGTTTGAATCATGAAAGGATCTAGTTCTGCTTGGCAGTAGTTTATCTAATTAAATAACAATCTAATTAAATAACAATAGAATCAGTCCCTCAGTGCTACTGATATAAATAACACAAACTGTTTGCATATTACAGCATCTGCACTCAAATTGAATGTATGTTTGCTCCATTTTGGACTATATTTTCTGTAAATGAAAACTAAACACCCAGCCAAAATGCTTTTCTCAAAATTCCTCTGAACTTTGGACAAATATGAACTTAAGTCTTGCCCAACGTTTGGATTTTTAGATACTGTATCTGGCCTTCAGTGGTTATCCCATGCAACCAAGTCTTAACATATGCAGAGACGGCAGGCTCAAAACTGATTTTTCCAGGTGAAAAAAATATACCTCTCTTATATGCTATATTACTGAGCTAGATTATTGGCACATAGTCTCATCTTACCTCATTATTTATATAGGTTTCTTGTAACTTTCATAGAAATTCCACCTGCAGAACCAGAGGCAGAAAGTTATCTTTGCAATTATTGATCCATATTAACATCTGGATGCAGTACTGTTAGGGAAAAGAAAGCAAATACCTCAATGAGCTATGTTTAACCAACCTGCAGGTGGCAGCTATCAAAACCACTGATGCACGTATACTGGCTAAAGTTATTAATGAATGATCTGACATACCAAGTCAGACAAATGTCATATCTAAATAGATTTTCAAATGTATACATACAAAAGCTGCTACTGTATCTAGATGATTGTTTTGATTTGTTTCTATACCCCATAGCTCTGAATCTATCTGAATCTGAATGTTTACTCAGCACGTGTGGTATAAATATATTCATACACTAAAATTGACACTTAGCTATTTTTCTTTTTTTTTTTCTTTCTTCTTTTTTTGCTGACCAGCAACAAATTCTGATATCTTTAACTGTAAACTGATACTCAATAAATATGCTGTGTTCAGCAAAGAGACATGTTTAGTCGGTCAGGGTTTTGCTGCACTCTAAGCCATAGGCTGCGGGGGTGGGCGCGAAGGAGGAGGTCCGGGAGGGGCTCGGGATGGGGGTGGTCCAGGAGGCGGCTGCCTGGAAGGGGGTTGCAGAGACACAGGAGAAGAAGGATTCCTTGGAGCGTTGTTGAGGGGAACATTGTCACGTCGTGGCAGCTTCGGTGGTGGGCTGTAAGGGGCAGAGGTTCCATCCGATTTCACCCGAGTGAAGTTTATGCATCTCCCCTAGAGGTAAAGAAAAGTTCATTATTTGTAAGAAGAAGATATTTTGACTCATCAGCAGATAATCAAAGGGACTATAATCAGAGGGGCCAGGCTGCACTTCATCCAGTATTATTCACTGGGCCCTAGACATGACATTCAAACCATGCTGTACTGAAGCTCAACACTAGAAACCAATGCTTTCCTTGAATTTCAGAGCTCCTCCTGCCTACAGTGAATAGCTCAGGATTGGTTTAAACCAAAAGGGACTACAATGTGACTTTGCTCACATGTGCTCTCTGCTCTGCCACTAGAGCTATGTAGAACGTGCCTAAAGTGACAGCTTCACCAAAGCCATGCTTGCCTTGGTGGGATCCCTGACTGACAAAGCTGTGCTTGGAAAAAACCTCATACAGGATTATACCAGAGGAAAAACATTAGCAAAGACAACATCTGTAGCTTTCATTTTCACAGTGATCCTATCCTGGTCAGTATCCATGCTTTGAACATTACAACGGGATAGTACATCTGTCTTTTGTGCCCCGATGTAGATGTGGCTTCCCTCAGAAACACCAACGAGTTGTGGGACTTGCACAGAGGGCTCTCTAATGAATGTGTTTTCAGAATGGATGTGGGATGCAGGACCTGCGGATTGAGATTTTCAAACAGGAGTAGCTTGGGTTTGAAAAAAATGCAACCACTGAGGATGTCAACTACAGGCTAAATGCAAATATTTCAGGGTTTCCTTTAGCCAAAATAAAACTTTGCATAGGTTCCCACTAACCAAGTCCCAGACAGAAAGAGAGACAGACAGACCCCAAAGACCACCTAGCCTTTCCTGTGGAGAGCAGCCAGAGGCTCCTGTGTAATTCAAAACCTACATGGTAACCTCAATCAGACACCTCAGGTAGGTTGCACACTACAATCCACAAACTAAATTGAGCTCAAGGTTATGCCAACATCCCTCAAGCAGATTCAGGAGAGTGACTCCAAATATAGAAAACTTATCGCAAAGCTAAGCAGCTGTAGATCATGATTCCCCCCAGCTACCAGTGGCTGTGATAACAGGAATACAAGAACCCACACCAGTGACAGACTGCTCTTGGCTCAGTGCTGTCTGGCAAGAGAAAACTCTGAAGGTGTTTAAGGAATGGGCTGAGTTTCTGTGGCAAACCCAAAAATCACAGTTTCCTCAGGAAATCAGGCACAAACCATCACAGCAGCAGCACAACTATTTGTTAAGTGACTTCCAATGCCTGCACCTTTATTCATGAAAACTATTTCTTTAAAAAGAAGGGAATCATTTAAGTCTATGGCTTCTCTGAAGGAAGGCAGCAGCATTTCAAAAGAAGCTTGTGTAAGCTCCAGAGAGCTCAGAAAATGACTCAACAAATGTACTAACACCCAAAGGGTACCACCCTACCACTCAGCTGGACTGGATGGCTCAGGGATTCAAGAGCTCAGCTGCAGACAAGAGTTGTTTGAATGGGCATGTTGTTGCCTGAACATGAGACATACTCAGTAGTTCTCTGTCCCAGCTTTCAGCACCACAATTCACCACTACAATTAAACAACAGCATCATGAGTGGGATAAAACTGCCTTTCTAAAAATCTAGGCTTGTTACAGCAGACTTTGGTCATGAACTAGGCAATATTCTACTGGAGCCAGAGTCTTTTCATGGAGGCAAATGGCAAAAGCCAAGGTCCTGGTTAGTTCTGCAACAAAGATAAACCATTGGATCAAAAAAATCCAAGTCAGTGCTTTGCTCTACTCCATCACAGAACTGAAGTCCTCACCAGCATTGCAGTGAGCAGCCATCCTTGTTAGCTATTTGTCTTTTGCTGTGCTCCACTCTATTCAGAGCACACTTGGAAATTCAGAACTGTTTACTGACATGCAAAGAATGTTATGGATATATTTAACAGTTGTACATCAGATTCATTTAAGAAAACTCAACCTTGTTATTTATAAAGTTATGAATTTAGAACAGCTAATGAATCAGGATAAAAGTAAAAAAAAAAAAAAATAAAAAAGGTCAGAGGTACTCAGATGAGATGCGCCATATGGGGAAGGAAAAAATTTAGGACAGAACAATCTCCCTCACAGTAACTGCAAAGCTGCAAAGCCAACACTAGCGCTTTTGCTCACAAGCCTTTCCTGCTTCTCTGTTGTGTCTCTCTCCCAAACATCAATTCCAAATATATTCATAGTCTATAATCAAAGGGGATCCCATAAATCTGTTTGCATTACTTTCACTTCAGTTAAAGTGATAGGCGACGTCAAACTGCTGCCAGTTTCTGCCACACTCACTGATTTGTCAGACAGATGGGTAATTTAAAGGCCATGCGCTGCATTGTGTCATGAAAAATACGGTTGGGTTGGGGGAGTCTGACAGATAGAGGCTTGGATGATCGATGTATGTATTGTGACACTTCCTCACAAAAGATTATCGGTGTTAGCCTACAATCTCATATATCAAAGACTTCTGGTGAATACTGGAGCAAATCCTTGAGCACTTCAAGCAGCCATTGATAAAATGAGGCCGAACTCTTAGTCAGTGTTAGGATTAACAGCTGAAAGGGAAAGAACAAATGATATTAAATCAAAAGTCATAGTTTGGACTTATCAAGTGTATTTCATCAAAGGATTTCTAGGTTGAAGAAGCCCTCCACACATCACAGTTTCCTAATAATGGAGGGCCACTGCTATTCTACCTAATGTGCATCCCCCTGTGGTTAGTTTATAAAAAGATTCATGATGTTTCTCAAATAAACATGCTAACCGCAGGATTTTTAATATTTTCTGTTTGAAAGAATTAAGTCATTTCCTCTCCGAAGACATGTAAAGGCTTTTAAATCCTGGAGAACAAGGACAGAAATTAAGTATCCTGCACACTCATCTCTGCTCTTCCTGCACAGAGTATTAACAGGCATTAAGAGCCATCCCAGTTTAGTAGTGGAAATAGTATATTTCTTCCAGAAGCATGGTATACACTAAGTGTTTCAGGGAAGGTGTCAGAGTTGCAAGGTGCAGTAATACCAGGATGATCTCAGGCACAACAGCTGTCGGTAGCTGCTTTATTGTTTTCTGGGAGGCAGATGATCTGCGTAAATCCAGTTCTGTCTGGTTTTGGCCCCGCTCCCAATGCAGCATCCCTCAGATGGTGCGACCCACACCGCGTACTGTCATTCAAGCACCAACTGAAGGTCAGCAATGTGCCATATGGAGTTACGCCCTTACTTCAGCTCACATCTGCACATCTTCCTAATGCACAATTATTTTGCCTCCCCATATGTCCATCCACTTGTTAGGCTCTTGTTATGCTGCTTGCCAAATTGGCTTTTCAAAAAGTACAAATACTGAAGCAGCAGGATCTGCCCTTGTCCCAACTTCAGCTTTCATCCCAGTGTAACAATCACATGTGCAATTCAGGCACTTTGTACTTCTAGGCAATGTCTCCTCGACCACCTAGGATGTGTTTTTGTGTGTGGTTTAAGGAGGGGGGGGGGAAGGAAGGGAGGAACCTCTTGAAAGCCACTGCATCATGTTGCTGGGCTACTTTCATCACAGTGCTCAGTACATCATTCCCCAGCACTCATTTCTCAAAAATCTTTAGTTACTACTCAGCAAGTTTTAAGTGGAAAGGATCCAGGCAATTTAAAGAGTGCCATGGGGAAGTCTCTTCACCCATGATACTAAGAGAATTTCAGCAAAAAGAATTTAAAAAATCCAGACCATCTACCAGTGTCTGTCCCTTTTCTCTCTTCATTTTAATATGTGTGTTGGTTTTTAACAAAAATCAAATCCAGTTTAATCTCTGTGCATACCAGAGTGTTTGTGTACACGAAAGTATGCTTGTTTCTTATTTTTAGCTACATCAGTTGACTTAATAAAAGATATTCTTCCTGTTACAAATCTTGCTTGAGTTTCCATTCCCTCTTGATTTTGCTTATGGAATCTCAGTGCTGCAATTCTGAACTGCAGAGGTGACTGAAAAAGAGGTGGCTTCACTTAGTTTACTGAATTTTCTTGGTCTTTTACCTTGTAAGAATATCATACTTGCCTTTACATTTCAGAATGAATTAAAATAAAGTAATTCCTTTAAAATTTGAGCATAGCCATCCAATACACTAGACCACCAAATTAAAAGATAAACAAAGTAGCTCCCAGTAAGAGAGTACTAAATTTTTATTATATTTTAATAAAGGTATTATTTAGGATGCTGAAATATAAAGTGAACATAATTTCCTTAGGCTCAAATGAATAATCACCTCTCTCTCCCCAGTTTTGTTTATGGATGTCACTGGGATGACTCTGCCAGCTTGCTGTGGACGTGGTTTGTCAGCACGTAGATATCCAGTGTAAAAATGTAGCTCTAAAACTCAAAATAATAGATTCAGGCTTTTATGCTACCTACAAAATCACAAGAGTGAGCATCTACAAGTGAAGCATCAGCTAAGTGTAGATTTTGATCCACACACCTAGAAAACCATGGTATATACACCTTTAAGATCAGTGATAATGCAAAAATTGGATCTTGGAAAAATTAGGGATTACCCTGTCCTCTAATCAAGAACAGATGTGTTCTACCAGAAACACCTACAAGAATATCCTAAACAAGCCAGAATGGGAAACTCATTTAGCGAATTTATTTATAGAGGTAGATTATGGATACAATTATTGTACACATAGAGAGCAGAACTGAGGTGGTACAGAGCTTTCACTATCTGAGTTCCCTGGGCAAGTGTCAGGATTAGCAGCTGGCTTCTCAGGAGCCAGGATCTATGTGCATCAGCCTTTGCCAAAAGCTTCCTCACACAGCACTGCTTCACGCTGACTGTGCGCTCAACATGTCACGGCTCATTAAAACCTTCATGGGTTTCCTGGGAATTGCACTGATTACCCTGAAGCATACAGGCTAGAAATTAGTGAGCTGCTGAAACAGTTTGTCACGTAAAACCTAAGGCTGCCTGGTTTTCAGGCATACACAAGTAACTTTTACTAACTCCTACTTTTACATTTG